TTTCATACAGGCTTAAGCTGCGAACAGCGCAAGCGAAAAGGAGTCGCCTGAGTGTCCTGCAGGCTAAATCACTCATCAAACAAATGAAAGAAAAGAATGCACGGAATGATTCTACAGCATTTGAAGAAGCGGTGAAGGCCCTACCCATTAAGCAGCAGCAACAAGTCAAGGCGTGCTTTGCTGCGGCTAAAAGAAAATCCACGAAAGGGATGAAGTATGAAAGTGAATGGGCTCTAGAGTGCCTTATTATGTCCATGAAAAGCCCACGCCTCTATGAGCATATACGCAAAAACAACATCATGGCGTTGCCTTCTCGAACATCACTACGTCGATATCTCAAGCGTTACAGGAGTGGATTCGGCCTGAGCGAAAAAGTGTTTGCTGCTGTGGCGGAAAAAACAAAATCTATGGACTTGTTCCAGCGCCATGGTGGGCTGTTAATTGATGAGATTAAGCTATCTGAACACTTGAGCTTGGGAACCGATGGCACCATCGAAGGTTTTGTGGACCTTGGGAAGTTCACACCAGAGAGTGAGCGCTCCGTAGCATGTGACCATGGCCTTGTAGTATTGTTCGTGCCTTTTACAGGCACGTGGCACCAGATTATTGGTGTGTTCGCATCACGCAGCAATGTGAAGTCCGAGACGTTAGGCAAAATAATCCTCGAAGCAGTAGTCATGAGCGAAAACGCCGGTCTGCACGTAGACTTTATCACCACTGATGGAGCTGCGTGGAACAGAAGCATGTGGCACTCATTCGGCATACACGGCAGGAAAGAAAACACAGTATGTAGAAGGCAGCACCCTACAGACCCAGAACGTTTTCTGCACTTCATCTCGGACTTCCCACACCTTCTTAAATGTGTGAGGAACACCTTTGTTCGAACGGGCGTGAAACTGCCAGAAGGCCATGCCAGTGTTGACCCTATTGACTGTGCCCGGAAGCTTGATGAACAGCATGACACGACTCTCAAAGCCATGCCTCATATTAGCAAATCGGTTGTGCATCCCAATGGCTTTGAGAAAATGAGGGTAAATTATGCAGTGCGGCTTTACAGTGATGAAGTCCTCAGAGGCCTTTTCTTGTACAATGCAACCATCGAAGAAAAGCATGGGAGCACAGCGGCGACAGTCAGCTTTGTGGAAAGAATGAGAAGGCTCATTGAGGCCATGACTTCAAGGTGCAGTTCGGGTGCACTTAAGCCTGGAGGGATGCACGAGAAGTGCATTCAAAACTTCTTGACTTACCTGGACGATTGGGAAACAGCTGCTGGCTCCGGAGGTTTCCTAAGCCGCAGTACAGCCGAGGGGCTTCGTGTTACCTTATCAAGCACGCTACACCTTCTCCGCTACCTGACGATGAAGTTGAACTTCAGCTATATGATGACATGCCGCTTGAGTCAGGACCCCCTGGAGAGGCTGTTTGGAATCGTCCGACAAATGTCTGGATGCAATGATCATCCGACTGCCTCCCAGTTCCTAATCTCGGTCAACACTTTGAGCTTCCAGAATTTGGCAAAACCACCGAAAGGAAGCAATGTGTCCTCAGGACTGCTGAGAAGTCTGCTGGGAGCTGACAACGGAAAGGACCTCACTCCTCGGAGGAAATTAGACGAGCTTCTTGACGTAGGAAACCTTGCCGAAGCACATGAAGTGCTCAATGAATACGGCCACGGCACCGAGCATGCAGACATGGTCGTGCAAAGCAGCGATGCCAGACTCATATTCTACATGGCTGGATATGTGGCAAGAAAAAGCGTTGCAAGCACCAAATGTGCAGAGTGCAGCCAGCAGCTCCTACAAGGCGAGAACGATCCATCTCCAGCTGCAGCATCCCTCACGGCTGCTGTTGACCGAGGAGGCCTGCTGTACCCATCAGTCAAGCTCAATGAACTCGTGACCACTCTCGAGAACACTTTTACCCACTGCTTCAGTGTTACAGAAGTCAAACCTGACAGCATCATGGACTTGGTTTCCTTCTTGCAGTTAAGAAAGCTTACACTTGTTGGCTGCCCTGACCACAGTATGTCCCTCACAAACAAAATTATCAAGTTTTATGTTCTTACTAGGCTCCACTTTCATGTGAAAGCCCAGAACAGCAAACGAAACGCTAAGCAGGAAAGAATGAAATTGCTGAAGCTTAGACGCGTGCTCTGAGTTTGATATTGTAACTTTAAGCTCTATTGATTTTTTTTTTGCCGAGTGGAAAGTGATTGTATGCCTCTTATTACTTAGTGCCAAGCGATGCGCTGTCTGTGTGCAATGTTTCAATGTTTTTAACTACTCCCGAGCGTATGTAAATGTGCGTATTTTTTCATTTTATTTTATTTTACCCTGTATTCCATGATGTGCAATAGATCTTCCTAATAATATGATGTGCAATAAATATTTGTTTTATTTTCCTCGCCCAGAACTTTGGTAATATTTTTTTTTAAAAAAACGCCGTCGCCTTGCACTCCAAAACACTGCAGGGATATGCGAACGAAAGCTTTAATTTGCGCAGATTCAACGTCACAGAAGTCTTGCAGCGGCAGCCAATTTCTTTTAATGCTTGAAATGGCGTTCTATCAGCCATCGTCACAGTGAGTTATCTGAATCGCCAATTTATCTGAATCATGCTTCAGCAACAGCATCTTTGAAAGGTCCGCGCGCTCAAGGCGCGCGCGCGTAACTAGCATCACCATTCCGCCGACAGCGCCACCGCCGCGCTGCTCGAAACGAAGGAGCGGCTCCGAGCTCCCGTTGGCGTCACCTCCCAATTCTAGCCACCATAATATGACCTTCAAAGATTCACTCTGTCTCAAGACTAACGTCGTACGACAAAATTTGCAGTCAAAAATGCAGATACGGGGCCAGAAATTTTGTTTCCTCCTTAGAATCGAGGGCACTGGTGCATCGCCAGCTCTGCTCGCAAAGCCTCGTTTCTCATGCGCCCGCGTTCAGCGGAAAAAAATTCATTCACCAGCCGCTGCGTGAATCTGCGCTGCCGTCTGTCACGCCGTTATTTTTTGTTGGGCAGCGTAAATTTACGTCCAACATAGCGGCCTTAAGAATGTCGCTCTTGCAGCCGTAGAATACTGCGTCTCGCATTCACCGTCACCAAAGGCCGTGCGCCAGCGAAGGCAGTCGGCTGTCGCTGGGGCGGCTATCCACACATTCTGTGAGAGCTAAGCTGTGTTCGAATTCGGCGTGGTAGGAGGAACCGGTGCTGCGAAAGTTAAAAAGGTGCCACTGCACTGCGCGCAAATGGCGTGCAGGAGGGGCAGCGCCATCGCCATTTCTTTCGAAAGACGAGAGTCTTCTCTAGTTACGTGTTTAGAGAACGTGGTTATCCATTTGGAGTACTGCGTCCTCAACTATGCGAGAGCTGAAAGCCGTCCCGTGGTGCAACTTATGCCAAATATATAGTCTCTCTAGTTATGCGTTTAGAGAGCGTGGTTATACATTTGGAGTACGGGGTACTCAACTATGGGAGAGCTGAAAGCCGTCCCGTGGTGCAACTCTGTGTTTAGAAAAACATGTAACGATTTCGAGTACTTCGTACTCCACTATGGGAGAGCACTGAGCCGCCCGCCGTGCAACTTATGCTGCAATATTGTTTTGCACCTGTCGCATCGTTCAGCAAGGCGTTTTAAGCACGCCTACACACGCAGCGCCCACCAATGTTGCTCTGGTTTTCGCTTTCATACTTGTGCAGTTGTCGATTAAAAAACAATTATTGCACACATTTGAGGCATATTATCTACACAACAGTGTTTTGTGATGTGCTTCTTTATACTATAAAAGGCATACATAAGTAATTCTAAGAGCTGTAGCGTTAATTACGCTGCGCTGACAATGCGTCGCTATGCACGAAAAGGAGATTCTTTGCTAAAACAATATGGTGCTGCCACCTTTCTTAAAGTCTACAAAATATGACCTTCAAGATGGTGCGCACACATTCTTTCGTTTTCTGAGATTACCGCCAGACGGCACTTGCGCAAAACAATAAAAAATAAATGTTTTATTCACTCTCTCTCCGGACTATCGTCGTACGACAAATTTGCAGTCAAAAATGCAGATACGGGGCCAAAAAATTTGTTTTCCCATTTGAATCGTGGGCACTGGTGCGTCGTCTGCTCTGCTCGCAAGGCCTCGTTTCTCATGCGCCCGCGTTCAGCGAAAAAAAAAAGAAAAAATCCTTCACCAGCCGCTGCGTGAATCTCTGCGCTGCCGTCTGCCACTGTCACGCCGTTATAATTTTTGTTGCGCAGCGTGAATTCACATCCAAGATTAACGCCATGTTCAACCAAGCGCCGGCGAAACGTGTCGTCTGCTTCTGAGTTGCACCGCGACCCCCTATCGAACAGGTTCAGGAACTTGATGCACCGTGGCGGCACCACTTCTTCACACGCCTGCACCTTGTTGCAATAGAGCACTGCGGTGCAGTTCACCAGAGAATCGAGGACTGCGGTGTCGTGCACCGTGAACCGCTGCAGGTGAATCGAACACACCTTTAGTTAAGCTCCGAAATGTCACCCTAGTGAACAGCACATACGCAAATAAACTACGGAAGGTACGCACGATAACATTACACAATGAGCTATGCCTCGCTGACCCGGCAAAGCGCTGAACTAAACACAAGCAAATTGCCTAGATACCCCCCCCCCCCCCCATTTCAGGCCCTCGACGAGGTCCCTCGACCAAAAAATGAGGCAATCAGTAATTTAGCCGTCAGATAAACTGTAAATGTATACTTAACTGTGACGTGTAAAAAATTACGACTATTTGAAGAAAATATCGCGTCGTGTTTTTGGTTTGGTTGTTTTTCCTCTTCTCATCTAGTCGCGCTTGAATCATCGGTGGGTGTTGATGCCAGTGGCAATAGGTTTGTGACACTTTCGTTCTGAGTGTCGCAACCTATGTAATTTGACCATGACGCTTCTTTCCACATATTAACTTGATGTAGTAGGCCGTTATCTGAAAGGTGCTTTCCTCTGTTACCCTACATTTGTCGTACAGGACGGGACACCGTCAGTGATCCGGCGGAAGTCCAGTGAAGCGGCCAGGCAACAACGCACGCCAGCTGGTGGCGGACCCCTGTCTACCATCGAGTACCAGGAGAATCTTCACGAAGTTAGAGCTGTCCTGACTGATATAATCAATCGTGTGGATTGCGAGCCAAGTTCCGAAGCGGGAGCGGAAACTTCAGGCGACTACGAAGAGGATATGGCAAACAGGACGTTTACCACTAGATCCCTGGCTGCCCAATTGAAGGACTTGCCCTGTGTGCCTGAGGCCACCGCCGACCACGCCGGCGAAAAACCGCCCACTAGCGTTGACGACGAAGCGGAACATGCGTTGCCTGAAGCCCTGGCAGCCCAATTGAAGGACTTGACCTGTGTGCCTGAGGCCACCGCCGACCACGCCGGTGAAAAACCGCCCACTAGCGTTGACGACAAAGCGGAACATGCGTTGCCTGAAGGTCATGCAATCACGCCGGGTGGTCCTTGGAGCTCCTGGGATACGTGGTAAGTGAACTGAAAGGCAGCTTTGCAGATACGGCATTTAGACGAGCATCTTTTATTAGGCATCTTAATATTGGATGCGCAAAGCTTCGCGTTATCGTTTGGCGCGGCATTGCGCATGTGTCCTTTTGGGCACCCCTGGTTAGTGACAAATAGCATGCGTGCTCAACGAACGCTCTTTGTGTATCCTAGACAGTGTTTCATAGGACGCGACATACGTCAAGTAACTTTGCTTGTTACCCCAACGGAGACTTCGATATGAACTGTGTCGCAGCACGATTGATGCTGCAGTAATCTCGCAGGACGCGGGATCGAATTCTGGCCGCGGCGGCGGCATTATCGACGGAGGCGGAAAGGCTTAAGGCCCGTAAAGAACCCCAGGTGGTCGAAATTTTCGGAACCCTTTACTACGGCGTCTCTCGTAATATGGTGGTTTTGGGACATAAAACCCTCGACAATTGTTATTATATATTATTATTGATGCTGAAGTAAATTTAAGCACTGTCTTTTATTGCAGTAACGCCCCAAAGGCGCAAATTTCGTGAACGACCTTGCTTGCCGCTCAAAACGTTCTTGATACTGAATTAAGTGCAAGCAGCTGCGAATATTCGCGTTAAGAAACGCCATATTGTCATTGAGAAAAGAAAAAAAATGGCAGCATATCCACGGAGTGAATTACAGAGAGTGGGGCGAAGCGTCCGTCCATGTGTCCGTCTGTGTGACCGTCCGTGCGTCTATCCGCCCGGCCGTGCGTGTGTCTGTTAGTGCGTCCGCACGTCTATCCGTTTGTCTGTCCCTGCGTTCGTGCATGCATCCCTCCGTCCGTGCAGCCATCCGTGCGTCCGTCCATGCATCTGTCTGCGTGTCCGTTCATCCATCTAGTCAACACTCCAAGTACCACCATCTCGCATATTTTCATCATATATTCCACATATAGAAGCACCGCAATCCAGCGGACATTCCAGGACTAAACGAGAGGTGGCACACGCACACTTTCTTATGGCTTGCGCTTCGTGTCTACTTCCCACCTTTAACCACCTCGAGTTTATGGTATATACTAGTTCACTGTATTCATGGCACTGTGGCCCAACGCTCGCTAAACCTTTCTAAAACCAAGGGGGTTACGCCCAGCGAGTATAACGTAGCAACCCTTTCTTGTCAGATAGTGCTCAATGTACATGCCAATGGCTGCTAAGGGGTAATGCTAGACAGGAGAACTGAGCTTTTAGTTAACGCGCACGCTGCGATTTTTTTTATTGTTCAACAACGCACAGAAGAAATCTCCCACCGGCACCACCTTTGAGGTTAAAATCTAAGACAGGTTACACACTACTACTACGAGGGACGAACAGGTGCTTTAAAAAGCTTCGCCCCTAAAAAAAAAAAAAAAAAAAAATCACCTGCTTCAGTGATTTGCTGGCTATAGTGCTCGACAGCTGACCCGCAGGTTGCAAGATCGAATCCCGGCCACGGCGGCCGTATTTTCGATTGAGGTGAAAATGCAAGAGATCCGTGTACCTATTTAGGCGAAAGTAAAAAAACAAAAAACAAAAAAAAACACGCGGGCTAAATTTTCTGAGCCCTCCATTACGGCGTCTCTACTAATATGGTAATTTTGGGACGTCAAACCCAATAATTATTTTTTTAAATTCATTTTCGTTGCGTTTTGTAACACGCGCTAAACATTTGTGCTCGACTTTGCTTGCCCCTCTGACAACCTTTGTTGCCATACGGGGCGTCACGTGACCTCATCGTTGCTTGCTGCTGTTAGTTGCATGTAAGGAAAAATTCGTGCCGTATTTCAGCTCCTTTAGGAGGTGAGTATTCTTAGTTCTTACTCAGCGTAAATGTTCGCTGATAGGTACTGCGTAGTCTCTTTCTGTTTTAAACCAGTGCACCCAAACGGAGTCGCTGTTTCGGTGTCCAGCTTCGCGGAAAGCCCCCCTTACAGGGGCCCAGTGCGTTGGCGCTGTGACGAGTGCCTCGCTTATGCGGGAGGAGCCTCGCCTCTGTGGGAGGCTGCTCTGCCATTCATCACTTATCACTCGTTATGGCCCTGATTTTCGCAGGCCACAATCGTCGAGCGCTTTTCTTGGCGACGACACCAACAAGAGCGAACTGGATTTGACTTTCACCACGGCGAAGGGCTCTCCCTTGGGGGCCACTGGCTACTTCAACATTAGCGGCAACGACGCTAGCGCTCCTGCGCCAGTCGTGGTGAGCAAACACAGGTTCTTTTTCGTTTGCTGGTTTCCCCCTGAAGATGGGTTGATCAGCGGTTGTGTGCGCGGTCGTGATAACGCGACGGCCGGGGTTGACTGCTGGCCACTTGTGCGATTCTCGGTACAACGTGTGACAGATTTTGCTGTCAAATGATGGTTGCACCGTAACAGCTCACTAACAACGTGGGCGCCTTCGTCGTAATCGTTAATAAATTATAAAACAGCGTAGTGATTGCCATTCCATTCGGCCGTGTGCATTGTTGTGCACTATGATAACATGGCAGCGAAAACAAAGTTGACAAAGTAAGAAGGTACAAAAACAAGCGCATACTTAAACTTGGGTTTAATCGTAGAGGAAATATATACAGATATGTCCTATTTGTTTGCGCTGCCAAGTTGTCATTGTCAATCTATACCAGCTAGCCCGCCTATCAAATGTTTTGCTATTCAGTGTTGTGCGTTTGCTGTTAAAATGTGACTCGTAAGGCTGGCAATGTGGGAAGAATACATTGCTTCCAGTGCTTGGACTGATAGTGTCATTCTCACAGATAGAGCCTGTCGTAACATGTCTATGTGGTTGCACATAACGCATGTTTCGGTGGCCCTGGTAGCTATCGCTTGAAAAAAAAAATTTTTTTTCTGTGGCCATATGCGGTAAACAAGTTTTGCCTTGTTGATTCTGACTGCATTTTTGCTCTTGAGACTGGCTTAATAGTAATAGTCAATGCTACTGAACGTAGGACAGAATGTGTTAATGTGAACCCACTGTACCACTGGGAAACAGCTCTACACATAATTTCTAGTCTAGGAGTGTTCAAAAGTCGGTGCTTTTGTAAAGCTGTTGTTACAGAAGAAAAACCATTTCCTTTGTGGTCTCGGTATCCATTTAGCTTATTGTCATGTGACATACTGTGGACACTGTTAGTATTAAATTCATCATATAAATTGACGTGCCCATAGTGTGGTCTCTTCTGTAGTTTCCTTCTCTGCTGATGGAGTTTCATGTCCTGAATACAGGTTTGAGTTTTGAGGCACAAAATAGTTTTTACTAATTGTCATTAAAATATATATATATATATATATATATATATATATATATATATATATATATATATATATATATATATATATATATATATATATATATATATATATATGCCTTAATATTCGAACATTAGTGTATATGCATTTTACTCTCAAGAAGGCAACTATTTGAGATGCATGCAATGTCATCTTTAACTGATGAGCACCATAGCCTCTGAGCTGCCATTGTGGGTGTTGTACTTTTCTAACTGCATTCACTTAGTGTTAGTGTTATTACAGTGTAAAATGCTGTAAGGTTGCAGCAGCACATTTTTGTGGTGATGTGTGCTGCCTCCACTGGTGTCTGTAGAGACTATTGTGCGGCATGATTTTTTTTGAAGGGTATAAGCCCAGCAATCTTCATGGCAAGCGAGTGTTCTACCACAGAGCCACTCCAGTGCTTGAAACGATTTTGGAAAGACCCTATATAAATGTCATGCAAAGAGTGGAATCGGGTTAACAGGTATAATATTGTGGGGCAGAAGAATAGAATTGCAGCAGGAGTGGCACCATGTGGGGTGACAAAGCTTTTAAAGCCTTCCAACCATTGCAAAAGGCTATGCCATTATTCATCAGCTACAGCAACAACAAAGTGTGCATATTGCCTTTGAGACGTGTATGGGTGGTTCACTACTGCACAAAATTTGATTGTGTAGTGGTTACCTCGCAACTGTCACAAGTACAGTTGCGAGGTAACCAAGAATTTACAATGGCATCTATTAAGGCCACACTTCCACCTTGCGCTGTGACTGTGCTGTGCATTCCAGGCAGGCTTTATGTTATTGCTTTGAAGGGCCAGTAAAACAACCTCGAGGTTCATGAATTTTAATGAGATAATTATGTGCACTTTCTGCCACAAGAATATGTGAACATGCTGCCACAAAAATTTTGCGAATATTTGCTATAATAAGGAAGTTACAGGAGTTGGAGATCCGTTCTGCCGGTTTGAAATTTTTGTGGCCGCTCGCCACCCTTCTCTGCGAAGGAGTAGCCCGTTGTCGTGACTCCGCCCACTTTGGCAATGTGACACGTCACGGGTACGTCACAAAAAAAGAAAGGAAATGCAGACTGTGAGGCTGAAACTATATCACCGCAGGGCCAAGAAACCGTTTCATTGGGCAAAGAACCAATTGATCAGCTCAGTGGTGCGTAACATTGCCCATGGGCAACCTTTCTTCAGATTGTGCGTACGAGGGGGATTGGTCAGGAGAGGGAAACAGGTGCGGGATTGTTTTTCGAAATCGAGGGTCTGCGCAGCGTGCAGCACTGTATGGTTCAGCAAATGTGATTTTCATGGTCTATTCTACGAATTGGTGAGCTCAATTGGGGGGGGGGGGGAGGTTAAAAAAAAAGGTTGGAGCCTGTTTACTGCCTCTTAAGGTAGGTGCAACACCAGTGCATTTGATAACACAGTAAAGTTTACAACATTCTTGTGTGTGTGCATGGTGAAGGCAATGTGCAATGTTTGAACTCCTGTGGATCATTGAACAGTTATGCCATACATCTTGCTGGGATCATCATCCTAAGAGGCTGCTACCTACATAATTCCTGTGCAAGTGGAGCTAACTTGCATTGACTCTATGAAGTCTCCTGTGGGCTCATTACAGAATATGAAGGCATATTGTTTGTTCGGTCTGCCACTAACGTTACCGAGCAAAACAGAAGTCGATGGGTGTACAGCTTGAGCAACACAGCAAACCATTGCCAGCATATAAGCCTTTTACATGGATAGTATCAAGTGCACGAATAATGTTGAAATGGTATAGCACAGTTCAATTCTAGGAATACATTCCATGACATGATGCAATGCTTTTGAGGTCATTATTGTTTCATGAGCTACAGCTGCCCATTTTGTAGCATAGTTTCATTGTGGCCTTAGCCATGAGTACCACTAATGCTGTGCCACTAGAGCTAATAGCAAAGCCTGGGATAGCCATAACAGCAGCTGCAGCCTTAGGCCTTTAACTGCGTGATGGTCAACATGAAGGCCAAACGGAAGCGCATGTTTGAAGAGACTGTGCAGAACCACTGATGTGCTTGTTCTTCTCAGCAGTATTGATCCAGAGAAGGTGCATGAAAGCTTGTACAACTCAGCTTGTCGCCACTGCATTCATGAGCAGCGCACAAGTGCAACATTCCTCATAAGATACTTAATAAGCATCGTTTTGCGCCCCGCCACGGCGGTCTAGTGGCTAAGGTACTCTGCTGCTGACCCGCAGGTCGCGTGATCGAATTCCAGCTGCGGTGGCTGCATTTCGGATGGAGGCGGGAATGTTGTAGGCCCGTGTGCACAGATTTGGGTGCACATTAAAGAACCTTAGGTGGTCGAAATTTCCGGAGCCCTCCACTGCGGCGTCTCTCGTAATCATATGATGGTTTTAGGACGTTAAATCTCACATATCAATCGTTAAGCATCGTTTTACATACAAATGAGCAGCATGATTTATAAATGGGTTGAAAATTTTGTTTTAGTGACTGATCTTGCTTTTAGCTTGTAGTAACTAGGTACAACATAGCTGTTTCAATATAACTTTTAATTTTTCCTGAAGTCCCTTCAAGTTCGGTCAAATGAAGTTTCACTGTATTGTTTTAAACCCGAGGTAGTTTCTGATAAGGAGAATCAAAATTCGGACCTAATGTCGAACCATTGGCTGGCCCAGTTGACAGCCTATATCATGCTCTTTATACGAAGGCCAGCTTTGTTACATTCCAGTTTGCATCATGGCAGCATAACGAATTCTTGTTATGGCACTGACTAGTGGTAAAGAGTAATGGCTTCCTACAAAGTTCGACTTGTGCTAGAGGGGTCGGGTGTAATCGCTTTTTATAAAGTTAGACTTGTGTTAGAATGGTCGGGTGTAATCGCTTTTTACAAAGTTCGACTTGTGTTAGATGTTTGGTTTCTTTAAATATCTGAATAGGAAGTTTTTATAAACCTCCTATAAAAATTACTATTGTGAGGTTTCTGTGTAAGATCTTTTGTCTTCCTAGGCATACATGAAGCTAGCTAGATATGTGCTTGCTTTTGTTTTTCTCTGTTGCATTGTAACCATGTGGGAAAATGTGCTACATTTAAAACTTGCACCTAATCGTTGCAGGAAGCGTCCTTGTGCAGCCACAACCGAATTTGTTACTTGTGTGGTTTGGCAGTATTACTCTTCAGCAACTTGTTAAAAATCTCTGGTCATTCTTTGTGAATTACATACATTAGAATATTTTGGATAACCTATGGAGAAAAGTCTGCAAAATAATTGGAGCTCACTCACTTGGTAAACACAGAGTTTGCTCTGAAGGCTTTTGGGCTCAGATGCATCAATTTTCCTCATCCACACTCGCTTGGACTCGCTTACCAGCACATTACTCTGCCATACTCACTAAGACTCGCGGCATGACCAGAGTCTGAGTGAGCCTGATGCGAGTTGACTCGTGATTCTATTAGAGTAAAATTAGCTTTTTGAACATGGTCTCAATGGTGTTTGATGCCAATATCTCCCGTAATTGGTGCCTTTTGATTATGTATGTTGAAATAAGAGTTCTGTCCAATGAAGACATGTTTATTAAATATGTAACTAACATGAAATATCTTAATCAATATATTTTTGTAAAAGATTGTGGGGGGGGGGGGAGGTTATGGCATAAGCTAATAAAAGGCTGATAGTACTTCTGAAAAGGAGTAGATAGGACAATAGGTAGGCAATAAAATGTGGAGCCCAAACTCGTTAAAGAGGCATATCTGGCACCTATGGCTCTTAGGTATCCGGCTCATTGAATGTCACTCATTGAATGTCATCTTATTGGTCTGCTTTTCTATTGCATTGTTTGTTTTGATCAAAGGTGCACATGAATTGGTTTGGGGTATGGTAAAACAAAAAAAAAACAAAAAAACTGTAGGGCTCTGTGTGTCAGCACCAC